CACACACACACACTCTCACACACACACACACACACACACACACACACACACACACAGATCCGAACACGGGACGGAGGCTGCATGGGGGGAGAAGACAGTCAAGGTGGCAGCTGGTCAGGGCGGCCGAGGAAGAGCGGAGGGGAGAAGGGGAGGCGCTGTAGTGGAATAGGGTTGCGGAGGAGATGAGGAACGGTGGAGAGGGGGGGGGCTGGGTGGTTGGAGGAGTCGGGTGGCGTAGGAGCAGCGGAGGGCGAACGAAGACAGGGGAGGGGGGGGGAAGTGACTTGGGGAGGGAGCCATGCCACTTTCCTGAGGGTTCCATCTTGCAGCAGCATTCAGTCGTAGCAAATACTCCACCGCACCTCAATCTTGGCCCACCACAGCTCACGGCGGCAGCTGGCCAACCTTAGGTGAGAGGGAGACAGGGATAGTGTGTGTGCGTGTGTGTGTTTCTTGTCATGTTTGCTATACAACTCCATTAAAATAGCATGACTGTGGCAGACTGTTTCGTCGGGCTTTCACCGACTCATCAGGAGGTTGAACCCCGACTGTCTGCCCAAAGTGAAAGAGAGAAGCAGCAAGCTAGAGAGAGAGTTGGGCGCTGCACACCAAGGTCCACAACAGCAAGCAGGGCATACACAACACGGCCCGAGGCAGTACCCAGCACGTACTACGGCAAACAACATGAACGCGTTGGCGCAAAGCTCAAGAAAATATGACGCAATGTGGTTGGAACCGACAAAGGCAAAGTGAGGTACCCAAAGCGAGGTACCCAAAGTTGCCTGCGAACTGGGCCGTAGGGCCGTTCTCCCCGAGGTACTGGGCCGAGGGCCTGGATCTACGCGCATGGCACTTGACTCTGGTAATACTCCACAGGACTCCTCAGCGCGTCTATCTGCGAAGGCACTCCGTGGCCTGTCTATCTGAGCCGTCGGTACGGACCGACGGCCTGGATCACGGCGTGGTCCTAAGATCTTAAGACCGCATCTATCCAGGCCGTCGGTCTGGTAGGACCCGACGGCCCAGATAGCAGATTTGTTACATGGTTAGGTCGATCTGGGCCGTGGGCCGGTAGGACCGACGACGGCCCAGCGATTTTAATAGCGTAGGGAAGAAGAAGAAGATGTACACCAGCAAGACCAATGACAAATCCCCCTTCTCTCTCCACTTTCCTCCTCCTCCTTCACTTCGCCAATCTTATTCTTCTTCCAATAATAATAATAACAATGAGTGAATGAACCAGAATCAATATCGGAAGTTCCCTCTTACTGCTGACACAACAACAGGTCCACCATAGCTATGGCTTCCCCCCTTCTTCCTCCTCTCACATGCCTAGGCTATGGCAGACTACTAAGGGCTCTGCCCTCCTGTGCAAAGGACAACGCAAAGCAGCTATGTCGCTGCACTCCTGTCCAAAGGACAACCCAAAGCAGCCATGCCGCTGCTCACGAAGCCGCCATGCCTGACTCTGCCTTGAGCTTCCTTGGTGTGGCACTACCCCAACTGGGGCCTTCCAGATGCAGCGCCCAACAAGCTGATGAAGATGGTGTCCACCATAGCCAGGTAGGTACCTTGCCAGAGTCGCCACTCTCCTCCTTCGCCCCCTTCTTCCTCCTCCTCAGGCTGGGCTGCTCACCTTGGCCAGGCTGAGCGCCCAGCTGCTCTTCTCCTCCAGGCAGCACTTCCAAGTCCAGCGCTTGGCTTCAGCAGCATGTTGCCAATCCTTGCATACCGCAAATGAGGAGCTGCTGGCTCCTCCTGGGGAGGCCTACTGAGCGGTGACTTCCTAGGCCAAGCGGCCTCCCAGCAACCGGTACCTCCTCCCATTCGGAGGGAAACATCATTGCAGGCTCTGATATCATCCAGACAGGGCCATAGACTCAGGCTACCTGGACTAGTACCGGCCTACCTCTAGCCTACCACTACTGGGCCTCTAAAAATGCCAACTTTTGTCTTCTTCTGCTCAGCCTCCAGTACCCGACACTTCTACCACTACTTGAGTGGTACCAGTCTGCCTGCTACTCGAGTGTTTTTCCCGCTGCTCTAAGTGTCGCGGGCCTACCCCCGCTACTTGAGTGTTTTCCCCGCTGCAACCCTCAAAGTCACGGCCACAGGTAAGTACTGGCCCTGTGGGGCATTTCAACCAACAAGTACCCTTGCGGGTCACACACACACTCAGCCGACAAGCACTCAGACAGGCACGCAAACCAGCAGGCACGCACACACACACAGACTAAGAAATGACAGCAGAATGTGGGAATTTCAGCAAGGGGTTCATTCCAGCGGCAAATCCCAGAAATCAGCAGTGTTCTCAGTCTGTGTTTTGGTGGGTCATTACACAAAGCGGAACTGTCCGTTGATCATTTTGGCAATTGGGAATTTGTTTGACGGAATGAAGCCGTGGCAATTACCTTCTCTTTGCTTTGTCCGAAAGCACATCCAGACTTCTTTTTCTTTTCTCTCTGAAAGCATGACCGCCTTGAGATATTATCAACAGCAAACTGACTGCCCCCTAGGTACCATTCAGAAGTGATTGATTTCATGATTTTCACCCATCTAAAAGTCGATTAGGATTCGAACTCGCGTCTGAATTTCAACAGTTCACATTGCCTGTATCACGCCGGCAAGTACCTTCACTTCGCTTTGTCCGAAAGCACATCCAGACTTTCTCTCTCTCTCTCTCTCTCTCTCTCTCTCTCTCTTTGAAAGGTGTGACTGCCTTCACATATTATCACCAACAAACTGACCTCCCCCCCAGGTAATTCAGAAGTAAGTTATTTCATTCATCCAACTTGATCCAAGTCCATTTGGATTCGAACTCACGTCTATGTAGTTAAACAGTTTGTGGGTGTACCAACCAAGCTAGGCCCGTTGCTGCGCACATCAAGACCAAAACTACTCCCCCCACAATCAACACAAACAGTCCTGTCCTGATTCCCTCAAATCTTCACCCAAAAATACAACGTACGCCATACGGTGACAAAGGCTGTATCCCGACTCGGAAGTTCGCCCGTGTACGGCTTTACCGTACAATGCATTTTTCTATTTGGGGGAAGACGATAGTGGTGGAGGAGACAAAATGAACACGCACCGTTTGTGAAACGGTAAAATTGAAAAAAAAACTTTTTTTTTTTTTGTTTTCCCTTGCGCAGGGGCCAAGCTAATCTTCTCTGTATCGTTCCAATTTTAATGGATGTCCCGAAGGACAGAAATGTAAACTCCTAATCGTCAACAAGTGCGAAAAGGAAGGTGATGATTTGAAAATAATGCTTACCAGCAAACTTGCGCACCTCCATCCGGAAATGATTTTGTCGTCAAATCGCTGCTACTACTTCGAACTTTCCTTTTGAGACTGGGCCCATTTCAAGTGCTCATCTCTGTCATGCCGAACCAAAAACCGCTCTATGACAGGGAAAACCTCTGTTTTGGCCTGCAGAACATGTGGCACATGGAACCGACAGCGTAAAATGGTAAGAGAGAGAAGATAAAAACAATGTGAATGAAAGGAAAAGAAAAAGAAGATCGTCCCCAAGGTAACATGATAGGTATAGTCTCATTTTTATAAAGTGATAATAGTGTGCGAGGATATGGGTCCTCCGCAGGCCTAAGGGCCACCCTGCAGCATATGTGCCCACCCTAAGTGAAGGCGGGCCTAACAAATCACGAGAGGCCCTTGGTTGTCAATTTTGCATTTCAGGTCCAGGCAGTTTCGTCGCGCCTGTTGGTTTAAGGGAAACAGAGGCCGAGCAGTGTGGAAATTCCCAGGCCTTCTAGGCCTTTCCGAAAGCGCAGGCCCTGGGCGAGATTCGCAGCCTCATACACAGACAGTTGGGAGACCCAACCGAATGAGGCCCAGTAGCTGCACTAGAGGCGCAGCATCCTGGGGCCTACCGGAAGCTTCTGGGCCCAGGCCAGTCCAGCCAGGCTGCCGAATGAGGCAGGCTCTTTCCATATAGGAAAGAGCTCGCTGCCTGGCCAGGAGTCGGGCACTCGCATGCTGGCGGCAGCGCTGCTGGAGCTAAAGCTCGTGGGCTGCTGCTAGCGCTGAGCGGCGAGGTGCAGGCACGTGTGGTTGTGCAGGGAGCAGGGCGCTGCTGAGGGCAGCGCCATAGCCCAGCCTCCATAGCTGGCAGGGCTTGGATGAACAGTGAGGCGCAGTGGTGGTCTTCGGGTGTACAACAAAGGGAGACGTGGGAGAGAGTCAAGTGAGAGAGAGAAGGATGATGATGATGATGATGTGAGGGCACATACCTGGTATTGGCGATGGTTCTGCATGGGCAACATCTTCAAGTACTTCCGGTGCTGCTGACGTCAACAGTTGCATTGTCAATAGTAGGCTAGTAGTAGCTGTGTAGGGAGCAGGCTGGGCGCCGTGTGCCAAGTAGGGAGATAGAGACTGGATACATATGTTGGTGGTGGCGAGAGCAAGCTCTCATTGACATTGACTTTCAGTGTTACGATTCTCCATTGGTGTTATATTGGTGCAATGCTGCTTCCTGAACACTGTGCTACGATTTGGCTTCCAATGTGATTATGAAATCTGAATATTATCATCTCGCTTCTGTTCATTTTCCTTGCAAGTGTTTGAAAAAAAAAAAAAGAAGATCGTGCGATCCCCGTAAGGGAATATACTATGTTGAGGGTATGAATGGCTACGATGATAAGATATGATAGTATATTTCCACATAATGCTCAACATGCATGCTCTGTGCGCTCCAACCCTCCCCCCCCCAACCCTTTCCCCTCCGGTCCTCAACTCACCAGCCACTTTGTCATGGCACGCAGAACCTACATCGTGAGAAGAAAGAGATGAAGATAATATCATCAGGGTAGGGGAGAGTATACTAAACTGAGGTTATGAATGGCTAAGATGATGCGATACGGTATAAGTCTACGTAATGCTCATCATATATGCTCTATGGGCCCTGACCCCCCGCCCAGACCCTTTTGCCCTCCAGTGCTTCACTCACCATCTACCCAGCCAGCCACACACACACACAGGCACACACACACACAGACGAGCAGGTGTGCGCGGATTGTGCAAACACCCCCCAGACATCATAATCCCCAAACACATCCATATCAACATGAGTGCAGGATTGGTCATGTCTGTGTCTGATTAAGCACCAAGCGCCCAGACGCCCATCCCCCTAAAAGGGGGCATGCCAGGAACAGTATCCTCGCCAACCTGGACTCCACCCATGAAGACAATTACAAGTCCGCATATCATATCATCAGTGCAATGACAAGTCGGTATCTATCGTGAGTACAATTACAAGTCAGTATACGACGTCCGTACATTGACAGGTCAGTATATATACCTGGTAATCCAAGATCGCACAGACAAACAACAGAGAACAGAAAACAGGAAGAAGCCAGCAGGACAGGCGTATAGTGCATGGGCTGTGAGCCTGTAACAGCAAGCCGAGGGCATGTGCTACACGGATGGAAGAGAATAGAATGGAACGCAAACGCAAGGAAAGGAAAAGCCGCCAACAACGCCACCCAGTCCTCTCAAGGGCAAGATTCTCAGCATTTGCATTCTAGAGCGCAAGGTGCCCACGTACCCACTTTGTTGTGTGGACAGTACCTCGTGCATGCACAACACCCACCTCTGCGTATTGACAGTGACCACACACCCACCTGTCCGTAAAAGGATGCTGACACTTGTAGTGTCTTACCACACGACAAAGCCAACGCTCCAGCTTGCATAACACTGCAGACTTGATAGAAATATGAGGGACTCTGAGTGTGTAGTCAATGTGCCAACATCTACAAAGGTTGGTTTACTGTCTGACCTTAGAAACCAATTCCCTTTCAGGACTTTCCGTAACTGTGCTTCTGCACCTCCTATTTTCGATACCTCACGGAGCTGCTGAAACGCAGCTAAAAAACATAAAAGAACACATTATAATTCATAACATTGCAGACTGGATACAAATGAGAGGAAAGCGAAAAAAAAAAAAAAAAAAAAAAAGATGAGAGGAAGGCTGAGTTGTGTAGTTAATCTGTCAACATTTCCAATAGATCCAGTGTGTTTGACTGTTTAAATATCTCGTTTAATGGCAGTACCACTACCAAAAACCACAATTCCTACACTCTCATTTTCTAGATGCAGTACCATTCCTTTAACACCACAGGGTGGTTTATGGTCAGACACACTCAGAGTATACTCACACTAGCCCTTTTGACTGCAGAATTGCAAAATCAGCGGCCAGATTGAGTCCTGAAAGGGACTCGATCTGGCCACCGATTTTCCGATTCCGCGATTATGAGGCCTAGCTTCTTCCCGCGAATACAATGTAGGGTCATTATAGCTGTATTTGGGGCATCTTTCAGTCTAAAATTCTCTAAATACAGCAATAATGACCAAAACGTTGTACTCAGGTGAAGAAGGTAGGGTGAGTAGGCCGTTGGACGTTGAAAACCAGTTTTGTTCGCGTTACTGTGTATTCGACAGGTCCTTGAGGTCACCACTACTAGCTAGGTTTTCTTTTTAGGGTGGGAGCCTGGGAGGGGGACAAAAAAAGAGCCAGTGCAGACCGACTGGATAGAGATGAGAGAGGAAGGCTGAGTGTGCAGTCAATCTGTCAATATTTGTAATCCAACAGGTCCGTGAGCTCACCACATAAAATCTCCCCACAGTTCACCAGCCAGCAATAAAGCAAAGACAGGATCAGCAAAAAGTTGAGAACCAAAAGTGCAAAAATCTCCACATGTGTGCGCCATTGAGCAGGCGGTGTGTACACATCCATCTACTTGACACACAACTTCGAAACGAAGGAAAAAAAATAAAAAAGAATTGAAAATATAATCTCATCCTGTCTTTTTTTTTGTCTTTTTTTATTCTATAATGAAATGCAAAACCTCTCGGTTTTGGCTCCTACCATTCTGGGGAGCGACAGTCCAGTTCCTATTCCCCCGGCAAGTCAAGGGTGAATACAATAAGAGACACACACGCTCCTTCTCACCATGGTTGGGAGGCCCGAGTGGACAGCATTAATGACTTCCCTAGGGAAGGATATATACCACCCCTCACCCCTGCTTAATAGCATGTCCTGTTTTCACTATCCCTTGGTTCTATGACTCGGAGTCTCCTCTCTCCTAGCTCCTCTCAGCTGAGTTCTGTTAAATACGCATAGAGGCTAGAGCTGGTATGGGGAGCTGACTACTAAAGGTTTGGTGTTACTTGTTGAGCCTCACTAAGGTGGCCTGTTCCTATAGTGTGGTCAAAACCTAATCTGTCTATTTGTGAACTCCAGAGATTCTTCTGGCGAAACCTGAACTTTCTGTAGATTTCTATTCTACTAGCCAGGGTTCCTTGTTTCACCCCAACTTTTGATGACCGGCATCTTCTAGGATTCTTAAACCCTAAACCCTGTAGGGTTTTGCCCGGTTTCTCCCCATCACAGTAGGGTTTTGCCCGAATGGACCGCATCGGCCGCTTCTCACAGGAAGGATGTACCACCCCTCGCCCTGTCTCGGTTAGCCTACCAGACTTATTTCGGAACTGGTCTGTGTCTTCTATGCTCCGCTCTCTCCTAGCCTAATCGTCTCCTCTGTTTTGTACAACACCTCGCAGCTGTTAGGCTGTCTGAGTCTCGGGGGTTGCTAGACTTGTCAGAGGCCATGGCCCTCAGTCCGTGCTCCTGCTTAGCGTACCTGCTCCTCAAATTACTCGCCATCTGCTCTCCATCTTGGCTTGTGTGCTGGTCGGAATGGGACTTGCTCTTGTCTTGTCCTCCCTTGAGTGCCATGCCCTCACTCTTACCATCTGCTATTAGAGTTTCCTCGTTTGTCTGGCTGGGTGTTAAGCTAGGGCTACCAATGAGTCGAGGAATTGAGTGCACTGCCTATCGGGTGTGGAGAGATTACTTTCCAACGGTCTCTAACTTGCTTGCTTAGTCTTTCCTCTGTTTCCCTGTCCCGAGTCCATGGAAATGTTTGAGAGGTGGGATCTGCTTCTTGGCATTGCTGAGTTGCGAGGTCGAGTTCGATGACTGTAGTATCTCCACTGACCTTGTCTACAATACTATAAGAACCGCTAATGTCATATCGCACGGCCCCGGTTGCGGGCCGATCACCACCTGCGGACAGCCCAGATCGCAGGCAGATGAGAAACTTTTCTCACCGGCCTGCGATCTGGCCCGTCCGCAGGTGGTGACCAGCCCGCAATCTGGACCGTGCGATACCGGTTCGGCCCGCCCAAACGGTCCTTCTGAAAGTGTGCCCGTGTCCAGTCCTGAAATCGCCCTTCGAAGGCCTGCCATTCAGAGGGGCGGGCTTCTTAATCGTCCCAGGCGCTATGGCACGCTACACACGTGACGACACACGTAGTGCTCTCGTGCTCTCTCTCTCTCTCTCTCTCTCTCTCTCTCTCTCTCTCTCTCTCTCTCTCTCTCTCTCTCTCCGACTGTGCTCTCCTTTGGT